GGCCAGGTAAGGTGGGGTGACAGAGGGCGGGGCAGGTGGCTGAGTGGAGGGGTCCGGCTTTGGGAGGGAGAGGCCTTGGGATCTGGGGAAGAAGGAGCAGGAGGCTGGGGCAGTGTGGCCAGCGGGAGGGCTGTGGACTTTGACATCCTCCTTCACAGAGCCCTATCTCTGGAGCATCTGGCCCAGGTCATGGCCAAAGGACTCCAGCCTGTAGAGGCCTCAAGAAAAAGTTAGAGACAGGTCAGAGCTTGGTGGGGCTCCTTTTAAAGCTTCACCTTCCAGATGGGGGGTTAGGAAACCAGATGCTCTGATGGGTGGGGGAGGGGCTGTCAACCAGGGAGACCTCTTGGGGCTGGCTCAGAAAATCTTCCATTTTCTGAGGGTGGGAGGGGAGGGGAGAATGGCTGGCCATGGAGGCACATGCTCGGGGGTCGAGGAGGCTGCTTCCCCACAGCCCACAGCTCATATGCCCACCTTTGCCCTTTGGGCACTTTCTGCAAAGGGGTTAGCATCCAGGAGAATCAATGCCTTTGAATTTGAAAATCTGCAGACTTGTAGGAGATGGTCAGAACATATATGCACACACCATGACTGCTCTAGAATCTTGCTATGACATATTGGTTCATGTGACATAAATATTCCGTGCAGAACTACATGTGCAATACCGTGCAAATGCCTGTCTGAGGGGGTGGGGCTGGTGGCGCCATCCCGTTGGTCCTGGCCTCTGCCCTCTCCCCGGGGCCCCCTTTCTACCGCCAGCTCTGTCGTCCTCGACCGTGTTCCTCTGGGCTCCAACCAGATGTCTTGGAGCAGCAGACAGAGGCTGGGGGTCCTGTGCAGGGTCCCCCGTGGTGTGAGCGTTTAGGCCAGCGAGGCTGGAGGGTGTAGGAAACGAGGGCAAAGGGTTGGGGCCCCACTTAGCAATGGGGGTGGGGGAAGGGGGCCGGGGACGAAGGCCACACTTCGGGCGAAAGTATGACCTCCTGACCTATGAAAGCTGAAGGGACTGCGCACCCACAGAACCACACGTGACTCCACTTCGCGCAGAATCACAGGACGTTTGAGTTGAAAAGGACCTTGGAGGGTTTCAAGCCCAAATCGCTGCCCAGGCAGCCCCCCATCCAGCACCAGAACCCAGTGCCCCCAGCGGGGCGGGCGGCTCGACAGCCCGTCCTCCACACCCGCCAAGTCCCTGGGTGGTGCTCTGTGGTGCATGCCTCTGTGTGTGCGTGTGTGTGTGCGTGTGTGTGTGTGTGCGCGCGCGCGTGTGCACCTGCTGACCTGCCGTCGCTCTGTGCAGGCTTTATGAGCTGGCACACAGGGCTTGTGAACCCAGTGACTGGAACAAACTCCAAGCTGAGTGAGCAGCGGCTTTGACCCCGCTGCCCTGTGCTGGCTCTATCCCCAGCCTCTCGCCTGTTTGTCCCTTGTGGCCAGCCCTGCACACGGCAGCAGAGCCCGGGAGACACCCTCCCAAAGGGCGCCGGGAGCAGGGATGGGGTGACGCAGTCAGCTGGGCCAGGAAACAAAGAGCAGAGATCAAGAGACAGAAGGAAAAGAAACCCATGGTTCCACAGAGAGACCACTCAGAGTCATGGTCACACACACACACACCCCACACCATACACCACACACACATGCACACACACACGGACACCTTACATACACATGCACACAAATGCCACACCTGTTAGCACACAGTCTAAGACCAAGAGAGCAGATACAACTGCAAAGAGAGGCAACAGGAGAGGAAAAGCAGAGGGAAACACAGGAAGGCAGAACAAACAAAAAGAGGGACAAAACCGGAAAAAATTAAATGTATATTTTTGGCCCTAAATTAGTGGTTCTTGATGGAGAGTGATCTTGCCCCCCCCGCCCAAGGAAATTCCAGCAATGTCCGAGACTTTGGCTGTCACAGCTGAGGGAAGGGGATGCTACGGTCACCCAATAAGTGGCAGCTAAACATCCTGCAACGTGTGGGACAGACCCACACTAAAGAATTATTTGTTCCAACACATCAGTATTTGCAGGTTGAGAAAGCATGCCTGAAATGCACACATCGGTGGCATGCGGTGGCTACGGTCCCAGTCAGGGCTCTGCTCCCGTCCTGCATGTACTGAAGCACACGTCATCTCCCTGGCCACCTCCAGCCCTGCCAGTGTGGCCCTCGGAGGGGGCTGGTCCCCCTGCTTCACCACTGTCCCTCTGTTGAATCCTGAGGACCTAACGGCTTCGAGTTCAAGCTCAGCCTGAAGCAGGAGAACTGGCTGGAAACCCTTAGCATGTTGTCACAAGCCAAGTGGAGCCTCCTTCCTGTCTGTCCTCATCTCTCCCACCCCATCCCCCCACCATGGGCCTTGGC